AATTTGTTTTCCAGTGAGTGTCTCGTAGAGCAACTAGTTTAAATTATGCTCAGCAAGCAAAACAAAAAGGTGGAGGAAGGAGAAAAATCAGGAGCAAGAACAGGACTTTGTGTGTGAGAGAGAGACTTTAAAAGCTGCTCCACTGGAACTGATTGTTGAATAAGAAACTCTATTAATGAGTGTGTTTGTTATGCAGTGATCCATCCCGTCAGTTTGTGAGGACCTGTGGCTGATGGGATTCTCTCTTTTGCCCCATGTTTATGGACATTACAGCTGTCTTTCTTGATGTTATGAGTCTATAGCACAAGCTTAAATAATAACCTCTGGCTGTGGTCGCTGTCCGTGGTGCTGATCAAAAACTGTAATGGTTCTATTGATATTATTTTTGCACAAATTGTGTGTGTGTGTGTTTGTGTATGTGTAAGAGAGACAGCAAATGGGAGATGCTGTGTTTGCACCTGTACAACATAACAGAAATAATATCCGCCCCAACAGAATGCCTGTGAGCACAGCATTATATATAAAGTATTTGAGTTAGGAGAGATACCTGATCTCTCCAGTAAACGCTCCCTTGGCCACCTTGTAGGAGTTCTGCGCTGCGACGGAGATCCTGGGATCCAGATTGGATCGGGCAAAGTCCAGGTAGATGGAGGGAGCGGCACAAACCACCTCTGAAATCAGACAGAATGACTGGTGTTTGCTGTGATGATTGTCTGAGTTTCACTTTTATTCATTAGTTAAACCAGTGTAAAAGCTCTAAGAGCATTATTGTTGATGTAAATGCTTCTTTGCTCTGATCTTTTTCAACTGTTATACCTGAATAAATGAAAGGAAAACCTGAATTCTGCATTTACAAACACCTACTGCATTTGAAACAATCCGGAGACCCTGAGAGGCAGTTAAATGGACATAGAGCTAAACTGTGATTCTGGCTGGAGACTGAAATGATTTCATCTAACTGAAGATTACGATTGCTTTCATCACCAACCGCCTCCAGCAGCCTGCCTCATTTTAAAGACATTAAGAAACAGTCATGAAGACACTGTAAGAGAAAATAAATTAATGCAGAGCTGCTTAAATATAGCAAAGAGAATCGGTTACTTTGGTCAATAATTATTTAACACAGAGAAACTGTGTGTTTTAATCATCGTTTCATGCATATGTATCTGTTCTGTTCTGGAAAGCAAAAGAAAAGAATTCATTTTTAAAAAGTGCTTTATCTCAATTGTCTGGTTTTAAAAACTCCTTGAATAAGATTTGAGTTGCACACTCCTATGTACAAGCCCTTATCATAAGCATATGTTTATGTTCAGTGATGCAGCAGGCTTGTTCTTCAGTAATTGAGCCTACATGAGCATGAATGAGTGTGTGAAGACAGGCTAACAACAAAAACATCAGTGTGTAAAAAGTAAATAAACTGCTGGATCACACAGTTTTATGTCAGAGTGCAGCATATTAGTACAAACAAATCCTTGATTCAAAGATTTGGTGTTCAGTATTTGGTTCTTTGTCTACTTTAAGTCAGTTTGGCGCTCTAAAACGACCAAACTGAAAACACAAATGCGCCTCAAAAACGTCTGACTGGTGGAGGGAACCCAAGCTGTGAACTATGTGAAGACACAGGGACTGTTCACAGACTCAGTGGACTAACCTCAGCTGTCAAGCATGGCAATAAAAACCATGATTTAGGCTCCATTTGATGGGGAAAAGTACGAAGAGGCGGAAAATTAATTTCTCAAAGTGAAGTGAGAGAATGAGGCCTTCATGTGACGCCTCCTGATCACGTGACTTTCAATGTCAATGTGTCACCTGTGAAGCATCAGCAGTATCCCCCCCCCCTCCTCCTCTGTCAGCCCCTCCCACGTCACCAATCACAATCGCTTTTATTGATCCCCTCTAACCGCCACACACAGTCAGTCAGCGGTCCCGGCAATAATCTGGGGCTGTTACCGGTCTCGTCGTGCAGGCTGGCGGTGTTCAGGGTGCTGATGAGCTCTCCAAGACTCTCTTTGTTCCCGTTCATCTTCCAGTTTCCACCCACGAAGAACTTGCGAAGCGCCATGGCCGGCGAATATTAGCTGGTAGCCGGTGAGGAGAGGAGCTGGAGGTCGATCTGGAGTCCGGCCGGTGTGCAGGTCAGGTGATGCCAGAAATATCAGCTCCAAACACCGGCAAACGTCCTTCTTCTTCTGCGTGGGATTATGAAGGCAGTCGCAGAGCTTCACGGGACGTTACCTCCACCTGCTGTACAGAAGTTGTCCTTCCCACCATGGATGCAAAAGTATAAAGTACACGTACATTCACGGGGCATTCTCGTGGAAACCGCTCAGAAATGTTACGATTTTGAATTAAGCTTCTCGTGGCATTTTTTTGTTCGTTGTTTCTCTTCTCTGGTTGTCTCTACTTTCAGTTTTATTTTTTCCAATAAAAAGAGACAAAAGACACAAAGTCAAACATGAGTGTTGACAATATAACAATTTTATTGTTATTTATATTTTCAGTAATATTGTTATTGTGAATCACTTTGGGCATGATGATCATGTAAAATAAACCGTTTACACAGGATTTAAATGGATGCAACTTGGAATAATCAGACCTCCTTTAAAGGTATCAATATTTTTACTTTGGTCAGTAATATTTAATTGATTCAGTTCACTGTAATTAAAATGTGTTTCCCAAATTTACAATCATAATATGTAAAAATCGTTTTTTATTATGAAAATCATGCCAAAAATACCATAAAATCACAAGCAAGTCATTACTGCAACATTATATTCTGTCTAAATTATACATTTTGCTAAATTGTACCTTTATGTACCAAACTTTTGACTATTCAGAAAACCCGTACCTTACATGACGTTTGTTAAATAACTTAAATCCATCCATTCTCTTCTGCTTGTCCAATTCAGGGAGAGGCAGGATACACCCCGGACAGGTCGCCAGTCTGTGGCAGGGCTAACACATAGAGACAGACAACCATTCTCACTCACATTCCCACCTATGGGCAATTTAGAATGACCAGTTAGCCTAATCCCACTAATAGTCTTTGGTCTATGGGAGGAAGTCAGAGTACTCAGAGAGTTCCCACACAAACTTCACACTGAAAGACCCTG